CACCCCGCCCCCATTCTCCCGCTTTCCATCACCCCGCCCCATTCTCCCGCTTCCATCACCCCGCCCCATTCTCCCGCTTTCCATCACCCCGCCCCATTCTCCCGCTTTCCATCACCCCGCCCCATTCTCCCGCTTTCCATCACCCCGCCCCATTTCCCGCTTTCCATCATCCCGCCCCATTCTCCCGCTTTCCATCACCCGCCCCATTCTCCCTCCTTCCATCACCCCGCCCCATTCTCCCTCCTTCCATCACCCCGCCCCATTCTCCCGCTTTCCATCACCCCGCCCCATTCTCCCGCATTCCATCACCCCGCCCCATTCTCCCGCTTTCCATCACCCGCCCCATTCTCCCGCTTTCCATCACCCCGCCCCATTCTCCCGCTTTCCATCACCCCGCCCCATTCTCCCGCTTTCCATCACCCCGCCCCTTCTCCCGCTTCCATCACCCCGCCCCATTCTCCCTCCTTCCATCACCCCGCCCCATTCTCCCGCTTTCCATCACCCGCCCCATTCTCCTCCTTCCATCACCCCGCCTATTCTCCCGCTTTCCATCACCCCGCCCCATTCTCCCGCTTTCCATCACCCGCCCCATTCTCCCTCCTCCATCACCCCGCCCCTTCTCCCGCTTTCCATCACCCCGCCCCATTCTCCCCCTTCCATCACCCCGCCCCATTCTCCCGCTTTCCATCACCCCGCCCCATTCTCCCGCTTTCCATCACCCCGCCCCATTCTCCCGCTTTCCATCACCCCGCCCCATTCTCCCGCTTTCCATCACCCCGCCCCATTCTCCCGCTTTCCATCACCCCGCCCCATTCTCCCGCTTTCCATCACCCCGCCCCATTCTCCCGCTTTCCATCACCCCCCCATTCTCCCGCTTTCCATCACCCCGCCCCATTCTCCCGCTTCCATCACCCCGCCCCATTCTCCCGCTTTCCATCACCCCGCCCCATTCTCCTTTCCATCACCCCGCCCCATTCTCCCGCTTTCCATCACCCGCCCCATTCTCCCTCCTTCCATCACCCCGCCATTATTCTCCCGCTTTCCATCACCCCGCCCCATTCTCCCGCTTTCCATCAACCCGCCCCATTCTCCCGCTTTCCATCACCCCGCCCCATTCTCCCGCTTTCCATCACCCCGCCCCATTCTCCCGCTTTCCATCACCCCGCCCCATTCTCCCGCTTTCCATCACCCGCCTCCCCATTCTCCCGCTTTCCATCACCCCGCCCCATTCTCCCGCTTCCATCACCCCGCCCCATCTCCCCTCCTTCCATCACCCCGCCCCATTCTCCGCTTTCCATCACCCGCCCCATTCTCCCTCCTTTCCATCACCCCGCCCCATTCTCCCGCTTTCCATCACCCCGCCCCATTCTCCCGCTTTCCATCACCCCGCCCCATTCTCCGCTTTCCATCACCCCGCCCCATTCTCCCGCTTTCCATCACCCCGCCCCATTCTCCCTCCTTCCATCACCCCGCCCCATTCTCCCGCTTTCCATCACCCCGCCCCATTCTCCCCTTTCCATCACCCCGCCCCATTCTCCCGCTTTCCATCACCCCGCCCCATTCTCCTGCTTTCCATCACCCCTCCCCATTCTCCCGCTTTCCATCACCCCGCCCCATTCTCCCGCTTTCCATCACCCGCCCCATTCTCCCTCTTTCCATCACCCCGCCCCATTCTCCCGCTTTCCATCACCCGCCCCATTCTCCCTCCTTCATTCCCACCCCGCCATTCTCCCTCCTTCCATCACCCCGCCCCATTCTCCCGCTTTCCATCACCCCGCCCCATTCTCCCGCTTTCCATCACCCCGCCCATTCTCCCGCTTTCCATCACCCCGCCCCATTCTCCCGCTTTCCATCACCCCGCCCCATTCTCGCTCTTTCCATCACCCGCCCCATTCTCCCGCTTTCCATCACCCCGCCCCATTCTCCCGCTTTCCATCACCCCGCCCCATTCTCCCGCTTTCCATCACCCCGCCCCATTCTCCCGCTTTCCATCACCCCGCCCCATTCTCCCTCCTTCCATCACCCCGCCCCATTCTCCCGCTTTCCATCACCCCGCCCCATTCTCCCGCTTTCCATCACCCCGCCCCATTCTCCCGCTTTCCATCACCCTGCCCCATTCTCCCGCTTTCCATCACCCCGCCCCATTCTCCCGCTTTCCATCACCCCGCCCCATTCGCCCCGCTTTCCATCACCCCGCCCCATTCTCCCGCTTTCCATCACCCCGCCCCATTCTCCCTCCTTCCATCACCCCGCCCCATTCTCCCGCTTTCATCACCCCGCCCCATTCTCCCTCCTTTCCATCACCCCGCCCCATTCTCCCGCTTTCCATCACCCCGCCCATTTCCCGCTTTCCATCACCCCCCCATTCTCCCGCTTTCCATCACCCCGCCCCATTCTCCCACCTTTCCATCACCCCGCCCCATTCTCCCGCTTTCCATCACCCCGCCCCATTCTCCCGCTTTCCATCACCCCGCCCCATTCTCCCCTCCTTTCCATCACCCGCCCCATTCTCCCGCTTTCCATCACCCTGCCCCATTCTCCCTTTCCATCACCCCGCCCATTCTCCCGCTTTCCATCACCCCGCCCCATTCTCCCGCTTTCCATCACCCCGCCCCATTCTCCCGCTTTCCATCACCCCGCCCCATTCTCCCGCTTTCCATCACCCCGCCCCATTCTCCCGCTTTCCATCACCCCGCCCATTCTCCCGCTTTCCATCACCCCGCCCCATTCTCCCGCTTTCCATCACCCCGCCCCATTCTCCGCTTTCCATCACCCCGCCCCATTCTCCCGCTTTCCATCACCCCGCCCCATTCTCCGCTTTCCATCACCCGCCCATTCTCCCTTTCCATCACCTCGCCCCATTCTCCCGCTTTCCATCACCCCGCCCCATTCTCCCCTTTCCATCACCCCGCCATTCTCCCGCTTTCCATCACCCCGCCCCATTCTCCCGCTTTCCATCACCCCGCCCCATTCTCCCGCTTTCCATCACCCCGCCCCATTCTCCCGCTTTCCATCACCCCGCCCCATTCTCCTGCTTTCCATCACCCCGCCCCATTCTCCCCGCTTTCCATCACCCCGCCCCATTCTCCCGCTTTCCAACGCCCGCCCCATTCTCCCGCTTTCCATCCCCCCGCCCCATTCTCCCTCCTTCCATCACCCCGCCCCATTCTCCCGCTTTCCATCACCCCGCCCCATTCTCCCTCCTTCCATCACCCCTCCCCATTCTCCCCGCTTTCCATCACCCCGCCCCATTCTCCGCTTTCCAACGCCCCGCCCCATTCTCCCGCTTTCCATCACCCCGCACCATTTCTCCCCTGTTCCATCACCACCGCCCCATTCTCTCTCCTTCCATCACCCCGTCCCCATTCTCCCGCTTTCCATCACCCCCGCCCCATACCCCCGCTTTCCATCACCCCGCCCATTCTCCCTCCTTCCATCACCCCGCCCCATTCTCCCGTTTTCCATCACCCCGCCCCATTCTCCCGCTTTCCATCACCCCGCCCCATTCTCCCGCTTTCCATCACCCCGCCCCATTCTCCCGCTTTCCATCACCCCGCCCCATTCGCCCGCTTTTCCCATCACCCCGCCCCATTCTCCCGCTTTCCATCACCCGCCCCATTCTCCCGCTTTCCATCACCCCCGCCCTCACAATTCGCCCGCTTTTCCATCACCCGCCCCCATCTCCCGCTTTCCATCACCCCGCCCCAATCTCCCTCCTTACATTCACCCCGCCACATTCTCCCGCTTTCCATCACCCCGCCCCATTCTCCCTCCTTCCATCACCCCCGCCTTATTCTCCCGCTTTCCATCAACCCCGCCCCCATTCTCCTGCTTTCCATCACCCCTCCCCATTCTCCCGCTTTCCATCACCCCGCCCCATTCTCCCGCTTTCCATCACCCCGCCCCATTCTCCAGCTTTCCATCACCCCGCCCCATGCTCCCGCTTTCCATCACCCCTCCCCATTCTCCCGCTTTCCATCACCCGGCCCATGCTCCCGCTTTCCATCAACCCGCCCCATTCTTCCTCCTTTCATCACCCCGCCCCATTCTCCCGCTTTCCATCACCCCGCCCCATTCTCCCGCTTTCCATCACCCCGCCCCATTCTCCCGCTTTCCATCACCCCCGCCCCATTCTCCCGCTTTCCATCACCCCCGCCCCATTCTCCCGCTTTCCATCACCCCACCCCATTCTCCCTCCTTCCATCACCCCGCCCCATTCTCCCGCTTTCCATCACCCCGCCCCATTCTCCCGCTTTCCATCACCCCGCCCCATTCTCCCGCATTCCATCACCCCGCCCCATTCTCCCGCTTTCCATCACCCCGCCCCATTCTAACGCTTTCCATCACCCCGCCCCATTCTCCCGCTTTCCATAACCCCGCCCCATTCTAACGCTTTCCATCACCCCGCCCCATTCTCCCGCTTTCCATCACTCCGCCCCATTTTCCCGCTTTCCATCATCCCGCTCCATTCTCCCGCTTTCCATCACCCCGCCCCATTCTCCCTCCTTCCATCACCCCGCCCCATTCTCCCTCCTTTCATCACCCCGCCCCATTCTCCCGCTTTTCATCACCCCGCCCCATTCTCCCGCATTCCATCACCCCGCCCCATTCTCCCTGCTTTCCATCACCCCGCCCCATTCTCCCGCTTTCCATCACCCCGCCCCATTCGCCCACTTTCCATCACCCCGCCCCATTCTCCCGCTTTCCATCACCCCGCCCCAATCTCCCTCCTTCCATCACCCCGCCATATTCTCCCGCTTTCCATCACCACGCCCCATTCTCCCTCCTTCCATCACCCCGCCTTATTCTCCCGCTTTCCATCACCCCACCCCATTCTCCTGCTTTCCATCACCCCTCCCCATTCTCCCGCTTTCCATCACCCCGCCCCATTCTCCCGCTTTCCATCACCCCGCCCCATTCTCCAGCTTTCCATCACCCCGCCCCATGCTCCCGCTTTCCATCACCCCTCCCCATTCTCCCGCTTTCCATCACCCGGCCCCATGCTCCCGCTTTCCATCAACCCGCCCCATTCTTCCTCCTTTCATCACCCCGCCCCATTCTCCCGCTTTCCATCACCCCGCCCCATTCTCCCGCTTTCCATCACTCCGCCCCATTCTCCCGCTTTCCATCACCCCGCCCCATTCTCCCGTTTCCATCACCCCGCCCCATTCTCCCGCTTTCCATCACCCCACCCCATTCTCCTCCTTCCATCACCCCGCCCCATTCTCCCGCTTTCCATCACCCCGCCCATTCTCCCCGCTTTCCATCACCCCGCCCCATGATCCCGCATTCCATCACCCCGCCCCATTCTCCCGCTTTCCATCACCCCGCCCCATTCTAAACGCTTTCCATCACCCCGCCCCATTCTCCCGATTTCCATCACCCCGCCCCATTCCCCCGCTTTCCATCACCCAGCCCCATTCTCCCTCCTTCCATCACCCCGCCCCATTCTCCCGTTTTCCATCACCCCGCCCCATTCTCCCGCTTTCCATCACCCCGCCCCATTCTCCCTCCTTCCATCACCCCCGCCCCATTCTCCCGCTTTCCATCACCCCGCCCCATTCTCCCGCTTTCCATCCCCCCGCCGCTTTCCATCACCCCGCCCCATTCTCCCGCTTTCCATCACCCCGCCCCATTCTCTCGCTTTCCATCACCCGCCCCATTCTCCCGCTTTCCATCACCCCGCCCCATTCTCCCGCTTTCCATCACCCCGCCCCATTCTCCCGCTTTCCATCACCCCACCCCATTCTCCCTCCTTCCATCACCCCCGCCCCATTCTCCCGCTTTCCATCACCCCGCCCCATTCTCCCGCTTTCCATCACCCCGCCCATTCTCCCGCATTCCATCACCCCGCCCCATTCTCCCGCTTTCCATCACCCCGCCCCATTCTAACGCTTTCCATCACCCCGCCCCATTCACCCGATTTCCATCACCCCGCCCCATTCCCCCGCTTTCCATCACCCCGCCCCATTCTCCCTCCTTCCATCACCCCGCCCCATTCTCCCGTTTTCCATCACCCCGCCCCATTCTTCCGCTTTCCATCACCCCGCCCCACTCTCCCTCCTTCCATCACCCCGCCATATTCTCCCGCTTTCCATCACCCCGCCCCATTCTCCCGCTTTCCATCACCCCGCCCCATTCTCCCGCTTTCCATCACCCCGCCCCATTCTCCCGCTTTCCATCACCCCGCCCCATTCTCCCGCTTTCCATCACCCCGCCCCATTCTCCCGCTTTCCATCACCCGCCCCATTCTCCCGCTTTCCATCACCCCGCCCCATTCTCCCGCTTTCCATCACCCCGCCCCATTCTCCCTCCTTCCATCACCCCGCCCCATTCTCCCGCTTTCCATCACCCCCGCCCCATTCTCCCGCTTTCCATCACCCTGCCCCATTCTCCCGCATTCCATCACCCCGCCCCATTCTCCCGCTTTCCATCACCCCGCCCCATTCTAACGCTTTCCATCCACCCCGCCCCATTCTCCCGCTTTCCATCACTCCGCCCCATTTTCCCGCTTTCCATCATCCCGCCCCATTCTTCCGCTTTCCATCACCCCGCCCCATTATCCCTCCTTCCATCACCCCGCCCCATTCTCCCTCCTTTCATCACCCCGCCCCATTCTCGCGCTTTTCATCACCCCGCCCCATTCTCCCGCATTCCATCACCCCGCCCCATTCTCCCGCTTTCCATCACCCCGCCCCATTCTCCCGCTTTCCATCACCCCGCCCCATTCGCCCGCTTTCCATCACCCCGCCCCATTCTCCCGCTTTCCATCACCCCGCCCCAATCTCCCTCCTTCCATCATCCCGCCACATTCTCCCGCTTTCCATCACCCCGCCCCATTCTCCCTCCTTCCATCACCCCGCCTTATTCTCCTGCTTTCCATCACCCCGCCCCATTCTCCCACTTTCCATCACCCCTCCCCGTTCTCCCCCTTTCCATCACCCCGCCCCATTCTCCCGCTTTCCATCACCCCGCCCCATTCTCCAGCTTTCCATCACCCCGCCCCATGCTCCCACTTTCCATCACCCCTCCCCATTCTCCCGCTTTCCATCACCCGGCCCCATGCTCCCGCTTTCCATCAACCCGCCCCATTCTCCCTCCTTTCATCACCCCGCCCCATTCTCCCGCTTTCCATCACCCCGCCCCATTCTCCCTCCTTCCATCACCCCGCCCCATTCTCCCGCTTTCCATCACCCCGCCCCATTCTCCCGCTTTCCATCACCCCGCCCCCTTCTCCCGCTTTCCATCACCCCGCCCCATTCTCCCGCTTTCCATCACCCCGCCCCATTCTCCCGCTTTCCATCACCCCGCCCCATTCTCCCGCTTTCCATCACCCCGCCCCATTCTCCCGCTTTCCATCACCCCGCCTCATTCTCCCGCTTTCCATCACCCCGCCCCATTCTCCCGCTTTCCATCACCCCGCCCCATTCTCCCTCCTTCCATCACCCCGCCCCATTCTCCCGCTTTCCATCACCCCGCCCCATTCTCCCGCTTTCCATCACCCCGCCCCATTCTCCCGCATTCCATCACCCCGCCCCATTCTCCCGCTTTCCATCACCCCGCCCCATTCTAACGCTTTCCATCACCCCGCCCCATTCTCCCGCTTTCCATCAGTCTGCCCCATTTTCCCGCTTTCCATCATCCTTTCCCATTCTCCCGCTTTCCATCACCCCGCCCCATTCTCCCTCCTTCCATCACCCCGCCCCATTCTCCCTCCTTCCATCACCCCGCCCCATTCTCCCGCTTTTCATCACCCCGCCCCATTCTCCCGCATTTCATCACCCCGCCCCATTCCCCCGCTTTCCATCACCCCGCCCCAGTCTCCCTCTTTCCATCACCCCGCCCCATTCTCCCGCTTTCCATCACCCCGCCCCATTCTCCCGCTTTCCATCACTCCGCCCCATTCTCCCGCTTTCCATCACCCCGCCCCATTCTAACGCTTTCCATCACCCCGCCCCATTCTCCCGCTTTCCATCACTCCGCCCCATTTTCCCGCTTTCCATCATCCCGCCCCATTCTCCCGCTTTCCATCACCCCGCCCCATGCTCCCTCCTTCCATCACCCCGCCCCATTCTCCCTCCTTCCATCACCCCGCCCCATTCTCCCGCTTTTCATCACCCCGCCCCATTCTCCCTCCTTCCATCACCCTGCCCCATTCTCCCGCTTTCCATCACCCCGCCCCATTTTCCCGCTTTCCATCACCCAGCCCCACTCTCCCGCTTTCCATCAGCCCGCCCCATTCTCTCGCATTCCATCACCCCGCCCCATTCTCCGGCTTTCCATCACCCCGCCCCATTCTAACGCTTTCCATCACCCCGCCCCATTCTCCCGCTTTCCATCACTCCGCCCCATTTTCCCGCTTTCCATCATCCTGCCCCATTCTCCCGCTTTCCATCACCCCGCCCCATTCTCCCTCCTTCCATCACCCCGCCCCATTCTCCCTCCTTCCATCACCCCGCCCTATTCTCCCGCTTTTCATCACCCCGCCCCATTCTCCCGCATTTCATCACCCCGCCCCATTCCCCCGCTTTCCATCACCCCGCCCCATTCTCCCTCTTTCCATCACCCCGCCCCATTCTCCCGCTTTCCATCACCCCGCCCCATTCTCTCTCATTCCATCACCCCGCTCCATTCTCCCGCTTTCCATCACCCCGCCCCATTCTCCCGCTTTCCATCACCCCGCCCCATTCTCCCGCTTTCCATCACCCCGCCCCATTCGCCCGCTTTCCATCACCCCGCCCCATTCTCCCGCTTTCCATCACCCCGCCCCATTTTCCCGCTTTCCATCATCCCGCCCCATTCTCCCGCTTTCCATTACCCCGCCCCATTCTCCCTCCTTCCATCACCCCGCCCCATTCTCCTTCCTTCCATCACCCCGCCCCATTCTCCCGCTTTTCATCACCCCGCCCCATTCTCCCGCATTCCATCACCCCGCCCCATTCTCCCGCTTTCCATCACCCCGACCCATTCTCCCGCTTTCCATCACCCCGCCCCATTCGCCCGCTTTCCATCACCCCGCCCCATTCTCCCGCTTTCCATCACCCCGCCCCAATCTCCCTCCTTCCATCATCCCGCCACATTCTCCCGCTTTCCATCACCCTGCCCCATTCTCCCTCCTTCCTTCACCCCGCCTTATTCTCCCACTTTCCATCACCCCGCCCCATTCTTCCGCTTTCCATCACCCCTCCCCATTCTCCCGCTTTCCATCACCCCGCCCCATTCTCCCGCTTTCCATCACCCCGCCCCATGCTCCCGCTTTCCATCACCCCTCCCCATTCTCCCGCTTTCCATCACCCGGCCCCATGCTGTCGCTTTCCATCAACCCGCCCCATTCTCCCTCCTTTCATCACCCCGCCCCATTCTCCCGCTTTCCATCACCCCGCCCCATTCTCCCTCCTTCCATCACCCCGCCCCATTCTCCCGCTTTCCATCACCCCGCCCCATTCTCCCGCTTTCCATCACCTCACCCCATTCTCCCGCTTTCCATCACCCGGCCCCATTCTCCCGCTTTCCATCACCCCGGCCCATTCTCCCGCTTTCCATCACCCCGCCCCATTCTCCCGCTTTCCATCACCCCGCTGTTATAGTCACAATAGGCTTGAATGTGCCTAAAACGAAAGATAGAGAGCACAGACTGATTTCTGCACAGCGGCTTCAAACGTTGATAGCGTTCTGTTCACAGCTGCAAATGACTTGATTCAAATTGGATCTGGAGCGTCTTCACGTTGTCTACAATTAGCAATTTAGATTGCACGATTTGATAAAGAATTGACGACACAGCGTCGGTTTGAACGAACGGTACTATGGCAGCCACTATAGTCTTAGAACACAAGATAGGAAGAGTTACGAGTTGGGAATGACTCCCAGCTCCTACAAACCCCAAGAGCCGAGGTACAGTGATGTGGAACAGTGCCACACTGTCCCCAACCACGAAGGGTCTCGAAACTACCCTTCACTAGGGCCTACACCAAGTGAAATGTTACACTACACAAAGTAATGTAACTATCTTCAATATCTTGAGGTGTACCCTTTTGGCGAGCTTCGAAATCACTTGAGGCTTGACACCAAGGCTCGGGCTCTTCATCACAAACTCATCCTTGAGTTCTTGATGGGTCTGCTGCACACACCTGCGACACGCCGAACGTTCGACACAGGACAAAATAGAAACCGCGCACGACAAAATAGAAACCGCGCGCGAGACACAAACGACCGCGTAACACGCGTCTAGCGATAACTCGCTATTGACTCGACACACACACTCGACATCATGACTCAACATTCACACACAATTATAAGCATGAAATGTATATTATCCCATGCCCTCATACCATTCCATACACACACACATTCACGCACACGGACAACAAGCCGAGTGCAAACCGTAGGGTTGCACCAACAAACTCCCCCTCGGATTGTTGGCCTTAGGATATGTTGCTCTCTCAGTTCAGAGCCATCCCAGCCAGCTTGCAACACTTCCAATGCTGCTGCTCCACCAGCCTCTTGGTCATCATGTCAGCCGGCTGCCCCGTGGTCTTCACGTAGCGCAACTCAACTTCACCCGCGGTTACCATGCTCCTCGTCCAATGCCACTTCACCCTCATGTGCTTCGTGAGTCCATGCAACACAGGGTTCTTAGCAAGAGCAATGGCACCCTGGCTGTCACAGTACAGTGGGGTAGGTCCTTGCTGCTCCTCCCCCAATTCAGCCAACAAACGCCGCTGCCACACAATCTCCCGTACGGCACGGAAGAGTGCCATGTACTCGGACTCCACCGAGCTCAAAGCTTGGTCAACCTGCTTCTTGCTCTCCCAAGCAGTTGGGCCTCCACCAACACAGCATATGAAGCCTCCCATACTTGTCATGTCCTCTGGTTCTGATGCATATGAAGCATCCGAGTAGGCGGTGAGGAACAAACGCCCGGGTTCAACACCATCCGCGCCCTTTTGGCGCCTTTGTGCCGCCGCCGAGTATTGCAGCCCAACGGTCGGTGTTTGGCCAAGATACTTGGCCACCCTCATTCCAGCTGCTACCTGCTCCTCATTAGGGCATTGCACAACCCTAGCCAGCTGCCCGGTAGCAAACGCGACGTCCGGTCGGGTGTTTACCGCCGCATACATGAGGCTGCCCACCAACGAGTGAAATCGGCGCCTCTCCTCTTCACCAACGCTCTCCTCCTCTGGTCCCTTCACACACTTGAACCCAGAGGGAAAGGGTGTAGCCACATGGCCTTCACTCTGCCCAAAGTTGGCAGCCAATGCCTCCAGGTACTTTCGTTGATGCACCCGCATGCACCGCTTCTCCACATCTCGTTCGATGTGGAGCCCAAGGTAGAAGCTCACGTCACCAAGGGCCTTGCACTTGAACTTGTCTTGAAGCTTCAGCATCACCTCCTTCACAAGGTCAGAAGAGGGTGAGAAAATGAGGATGTCATCCACATAAACCACCATGAAACTCCTCTGCTCCCCCTCGCCAAGCATGAACAAGGAGTGATCGGCCGTTGAGGGAGTGAAGCCGATCTCCTCCAAAACTCCTCGCAGCTTCAAGTACCACTGCCTAGGGGCCTGCTTCAGTCCATAAAGGGCCTTCTTCAGCCTCAAAACTCTGCCACTACCATCATCAAACCCCTCTGGCTGCGCCATGAAAATCTCTTCCTCAAGGACGCCATTGAGGAATGCCGTTGTGACATCCATTTGTTTCACCACCCATCCTTTGATGGCAGCTCCCGCGAGTAGGGTTCGCAGCGTCGTCGGCTTCACCACAAGAGCAAACAACTCCTTATAGTCCACCTTCTCCTTCTGCTGGTACCCCTTCGCCACAAGCCTAGACTTGTAGCGCTCGATCTTGCCGTCGGCGTCGGACTTGATCTTGAAGAGCCACTTGGACGTAATCGCCTTACGCCCCTCCGGTAGCTCCACCAATTCCCATGTGCCGTTCTCCTCAATGCTCTTCAGCTCACTCTCCACTGCCTTCTTCCACTCCTCAGCATCACTACTCTCCAAGGCCTCCTTGAGAGTTGCTGGTTCCCCCGGCATCTCCACCGGAGAGAAGAACGCGAAGGCACACTCCTCGTAGTCACTCTCCTCGTCTTCTCCAACTATAAGTGCCGCTCCGGCCAAGGCTGACTTGGCTGGCTTTCCCAGTGCCTCATAGGTCAGCCTATTTGGGGCTTGGATTCTCCTTTTGCCCCTTCCTTCTTCCTCAGCTGCAGGGACATGAAGGCCTTGGCGTTGCTGCGGGGTGACTCGGATCCGTGGAGCACTCGTAGTGCGAGAAGGAAGTGTCGGTGCACGCTCGCTCACTTGCTGAACCTCCTCCTCTTCTTCCTCTGCATCCTTGGCCTCCTCTCCCCCATTCACAAGGGAAGATTGCCTTGTGGTGGTGCTGCCGCTGCTCAGCTCCAAGGGCAGCTCCACATGCTCCAAACCGGAACTCTTCACGTCCCCCAACCGCACGCCTATCTTCGCCTCATTCTCCGCCTTCCAATCCTTGTACATCAGATTCTCCATGAATTTGCAGTCCCTGCTCACCAAGAATTTCTTGGTGAATGGGTCCCAAAGAAGCCATCCCTTGCTGTTTTGAGCCATGCCCAAGTGCACGGCCCACACCGCCTTGGCACCAAGCTTGTTGTGCCGAAGATGCTTAGGCACGAGCGCCATGCACATGCACCCGAACACCCGAAGCATATCCACCTTTGGCTTCCTTCCTAGCCACTCCACATAGGGCACCCATTTGTCTTCTCCCACATGATTCAAGGCTCTGTTCTTGGCCACACACGCGCTCCGCACCGCATCAGGCCAGAAATAGTCGGGTAGCCCGGCTTCAATGAGCAACCCGCGTGCCGCCTCCGTGATTGTGCGGTTCGCTCGCTCGGCGATGCCGTTCATTGCAGTGGAGTATGGCATGGTGAGGGAGTGCCGAATACCATTCTTCTTCAGCCACAACCCAAACTCCTTGCTCAGGAACTCTCCCCCTCGATCGGTGCGGATTGACTTGACTAGACGGTCTTGTTGCCGCTCCACCATCGGGAACCAATCCGTCTTCAACGTTTCAGCCACGTCGCTCTTCTTGGCCAGCACGTACACCCAAGTCATGCGGGTGTAGACGTCGACAATGGTGAGAAAATACTCAGCTCCAGCAGCTCCAAGCTTCAGGGGGCCCACCACGTCCATCACCACCTCATCAAGCGGTGCCTTTGCCGTTGCCTCCGAACTAGGGAACGGAAACCGGGTGAACTTGGCTTGAATGCACGTCGGGCAGCCAAGCACCTCATCGGGCTCCCCCTTCACACGTATGCCAGCAACCATCTCATTCTTCACTAGCTGCTGCAAGATGGGCAGGGCCACATGCCCCATGCGCCGATGCAAGGTGAGCCAATCACACTCCCTCGTAGCCGAAGTTGGATTGGAGAATGCCGCGCTCGCAATAGCGCCCCACATACTCTCTCCGTAGTCCTCCTCCGCTGCTGCCTCTGGGTTCTCCTCACCCTTTTGCTGCTCCTTGGTTGCTGCACCACTCTCCTTAGGTTCACTGAACTTGCTGGTCCCTCCAGGTTTGCTCTTCTTGAGCTCATTCTCCTTAGCGCGACCGTTCGCGCCATCGTCGCTACCGACCGCTCCATCCTTGGTGCTGATGCTTGCTGCCACTTGCCTCTCCTTAGGCATAGGGACCACTGGGATCTGCCACATCTCGTTGTAGACATCCCTGTCCTCATGAAGGTCCCAAAGAATTTGATCGCCAAGCCTTGCGGTGTAGGTCTTGGCTCCCTTCGAGTTCGTGTCCATGCCGGCCTTTACCAACCGCCGCACGGAAATCAGGTTTGCAGCAAGGCTGGGCACCCAAAGCACGTTCTTGAGGCCCACCATCTTCCCATCAGCACCCTTGAACATGGCCTTGCCCATGCCTTTCACCTCTGCTCGCTGCCCCAAAGCCGATGTGACATGCTTCACCGGTGACGGCTCGAGTTCGGTGAGCAAGTCCGGGCGAGGTGTCATGCTATAGGTAGCGCCACTATCAATCACCCAATAGTCCAGGGGGTGTAGGGTCACCTTTCCCACAGCTGCTGGCTCCTCAAAGCCTTCATCCTTCTCTGGACCAGCCGGTACTTGCGTCGACACGAAGTAGAATAGACCCGGGTATCGATCGTCGCTCGGGTCCTTGTCGTTGTCTCCGCTCTTCATGTTTGCAGCTCCGCCACCGCGACCGCCACGGCCTCCACGGCCTCGTCCTCTCTCTCCTCCTGCTCTTCTACCCTCTTGGCCTTGAGCAGGGGTCCAACCATCAGGGAGTTTGTAGCAGTCGCGCCACATGTGTCCGCTCTTGTGGCAATAGTGACACTCGCCGTCGAATCGGCCGCGACCGCGTCCGTAGCTCTTGTCGTCGCTGCCGTAACCGCCACTCCTGCGGCCTCCGCCAAAGTTGCTGCCACCAAACCTTCCTCCCCCTCGTCCTCTGCCTCTTCCTCGACCATATCCACGGCCGATGCTCGCTGCCCCAGCGCCATCCGCACTCGCCAACTCACGGCGGCGGAAATCCTCTTGAAGGATAGCTCGCTTCACGTCTTCAAGCGAGGGCGGGGCAAGTCGCGATTAAGGTTGATGATGAGCGAGGACCATGACTCTGGGAGTAAGGCCAGCAACTTGGTCTTCTTTTGGAGCTCACTGTAGTTCAAATCAGCTCCCTCAAGCCGCGTCAACAAGTCGAAGAATTTCTGCACCCCTTCTTCAACCGCTTCGTTTTCTTCAATTCGTAGTGCCGCCATTTGCCGTTCCAACACCACCGCTACCGCCGCTGTTGCAGGAGCATGTACACCCTTGAGAGCAGCCCATGCCTTTGGTCCTTTCTCTGGTTCACGCTGGAATGGCTTGATGTGACGGATCTGACTGCTCCCCAACGCTTGCCCAAGTAAGAGATAGCCTTGTGCGCTCTTCCGCACCCACGGGCTCTTCTCCGGGTCGTTCTCGGGACGCTTCTCCGTTCCTTCCATCACCTCCAGCAGGTCATAGTGGTCAAAGATGTTCTCCATCTAGAAGGACCATTCAGCAAAGTTGTCACCGTTGAACTTGTCAAGCCCAAACACCCTAGGCTCATCCCTAGGTGGGCCTAGACTTGGTTGCATGGGCGCCATGGCTGAATCACGGGGTTGGCCTTGAGCTTGAGCTTCTCCACTGCCACCAGCACCTCTGCCACCCCTTTCCTCAGGTCCAGACATTGTCGAAACTGCTCCAAGGGGCTCTGATACCACTTGTTATAGTCACAATAGGCTTGAATGTGCCTAAAACGAAAGATAGAGAGCACAGACGGATTTCTGCACAGCGGCTTCAAACGTTGATAGCGTTCTGCTCACAGCTGCAAATGACTTGATTCAAATTGGATCTGGAGCGTCTTCACGTCGTCTACAATTAGCAATTTAAATTGCACGATTTTATAAAGAATTGACGATACAGCGTCGGTTTGAACGAACGGTACTATGGCAGCCACTATAGTCTTAGAACACAAGATAGAAAGAGTTACGAGTTGGGAATGACTCCCAGCTCCTACAAACCCCAAGAGCCGAGGTACAGTGATGTGGAACAGTGCCACACTGTCCCCAACCACGAAGGGTCTCGAAACTACCCTTCACTAGGGCCTACACCAAGTGAAATGTTACACTACACAAAGTAATGTAACTATCTTCAATATCTTGAGGTGTACCCTTTTGGCAAGCTTCGAAATCACTTGAGGCTTGACACCAAGGCTCGGGCTCTTCATCACAAACTCATCCTTGAGTTCTTGATGGGTCTGCTGCACACACCTGCGACACGCCGAACGTTCGACACAGGACAAAATAGAAACCGCGCACGACAAAATAGAAACCGCGCGCGAGACACAAACGACCGCGTAACACGCGTCTAGCGATAACTCGCTATTGACTCGACACACACACTCGACATCATGACTCAACATTCACACACAATTATAAGCATGAAATATATATTATCCCATGCCCTCATACCATTCCATACACACACACATTCACGCACACGGACAACAAGCCGAGTGCAAACCGTAGGGTTGCACCAACACCCGCCCCATTCTCCCGCTTTCCATCACCCCGCCCCATTCTCCCGCTTTCCATCACCCCGCCCCATTCTCCCGCTTTCCATCAACCCGCCCCGTTCTCCCGCTTTCCATCACCCCGCCCCATTCCCCCGCTTTCCATCACACCGCCCCATTCTCCCTCCTTCCATCACCCCGCCCCATTCTCCCGTTTTCCATCACCCCGCCCCATTCTCCCGCTTTCCATCACCCCGCCCCATTCTCCCTCCTTCCATCACCCCGCCCCATTCTCCCGCTTTCTATCACCCCGTCCCATTCTCCCGCTTTCCATCACCCCGCCCTATTCTCCCTACTTCCATCACCCCGCCCCATTCTCCCTCCTTCCATCACCCCGCCCCATTCTCCCGCTTTCCATCACCCCGCCCCATTCTCCCGCTTTCCATCACCCCGCCCCATTCTCCCGATTTCCATCACCCCGCCCCATTCCCCCGCTTTCCATCACCCCGCCCCATTCTCCCTCCTTCCATCACCCCGCCCCATTCTCCCGCTTTCCATCACCCCGCCCCATTCTCCCTCCTTCCATCACCCCGCCCCATTCTCCCGCTTTCCATCACCCCGTCCCATTCTCCCGGTTTCCATCACCCCGCCCCATTCTCCCGCTTTCCATCAACCCGCCCCATTCTCCCGCTTTCCATCACCCCGCCCTATTCTCCCGCTTTCCATCACCCCGCCCCATTCTCCCTCCTTCCATCACCCCGCCCCATTCTCCCGCTTTCCATCACCCTGCCCCATTCTCCCGCTTTCCATCACCCCGCCCCATTCTCCCTCCTTCCATCACCCCGCCCCATTCTCCCTCATTCCATCACCCCGCCGCATTCTCCCGCTTTCCATTACCCCGCCCCATTCTCCCGCTTTCCATCACCCCGCCCCATTCTCCCGCTTTCCATCACCCCGCCCCATTCTCCCTCCTTCCATCACCCCGCCCCATTCTCCCTCCTTCCATCACCCCACCCCGTTCTCCCGCTTTCCATCACCCCGCCCCATTCTCCCGCTTTCCATCACCCCGCCCCATTCTCCCGCTTTCCATCACCCCGCCCCATTCTCCCGCTTTCCATCACCCCGCCCCATTCTCCCACCTTCCATCACCCCGCCCCATTCTCCCGCTTTCCATCACCCCGCCCCATTCTCCCTCCCTCCATCACCCCGCCCCATTCTCCCGCTTTCCATCATCCCGCCCCAGTCTCCCACTTTCCATCAACCCGCCCCATTCTCCCGCTTTCCATCACCCCGCCCCATTCTCCCTCCTTCCATCACCCCGCCCCATTCTCCCTCCTTCTATCACCCCGCCCCGTTCTCCCGCTTTCCATCACCCCGCCCCATTCTCCCGCTTTCCATCACCCCGCCCCATTCTCCCGCTTTCCATCACCCCGCCCCATTCTCCCGCTTTCCATCACCCCGCCCCATTCTCCCTCCTTCCATCACCCCGCTGTTGGTGCAACCCTACGGTTTGCACTCGGCTTGTTGTCCGTGTGCATGCATGCGTGTGTGCATGGAATGGAAAGAGTGCATGAAATAAATATATGTTTCATGCTTATAATACTGTGTGAATGATGGGTCATGATGTCGAGTGTGTGTGTCAAGTCAATAGCGAATTATCGCTAGTCGCGTGTAACGTGGTCGTTTTGTGTGTCCCGCGTGGTTTCTATTTTGTCGCTTGTCGAACGTTCGGCGTGTCGCAGGTGTGTGCAGCAGACCCATCAAGAACTCAAGGATGAGTTTGTGATGAAGAACCCGAGCCCCTGGTGTCAACATTCAAGTGATCGCGAAGCTCGCCAAAAGGGTACACCTCAAGAGATTGAAGATAGATACATTACTTTGTGTAGTGTAACATTTCAGTTGGTGTAGGTCCTAGTGAAGGGTAGTTTCGAGACCCTTCGTGGTTGGGGACAGTGTGACACTGCTCCACATCACTGTACCTCGGCTCTTGGGGTTTGTAGGAGCTGGGAGTCATTCCCAACTCGTAACTCTTCCTAACTCTTCCTATCTTGTGTTCTAAGACAATAGTGGCTGCCATAGTGCCGTTCGTTCAAACTGAAGCTGTGTCGTCAATACTTAGTGAAATCGTGCGATCTAAATTGCCTATTGTAGGCGACAATAAGACGCTCCAGATCCAAGTTGAATCAAGTCACTTTAAGCTGTGACCAGAACGCTATGAACGTTTGAAGCCGCTGTGCAGAAATCCGACTGTGCACTCTATCTTTCGTTTTAGGCACATTGGAGCCTACTTTGACTATAACACCCGCCCCATTCTCCCGCTTTCCATCACCCCGCCCCATTCTCCCGCTTTCCATCACCCCGCCCCATTCTCCCTCCTTCCATCACGCCGCCCCATTCTCCCTCCTTCCATCACCCCGCCCCATTCTCCCGCTTTCCATCACCCCGCCCCATTCTCCCTCTTTCCATCACCCCGCCCCATTCTCCCGCTTTCCATCACCCGGCCCCATTCTCCCGCTTTCCATCACCCTGCCCCATTCTCCCACTTTCCATCACCCCGCCCCATTCTCCCTCCTTCCATCACCCCGCCCCATTCTCCCGCTTTCCATCACCCCGCCCCATTCTCCCGCTTTTCATCACCCCGCCCCATTCTCCCTCCTTCCGTCACCCCGCCCCATTCTCCCTCATTCCATCACCCCGCCCCATTCTCCCGCTTTCCATCACCCCGCCCCATTCTCCCTCTTTCCATCAACCCGCCCCATTCTCCCGCTTTCCATCACCCCGCCCTATTCTCCCGCTTTCCATCACCCCGCCCCATTCTCCCTCTTTCCATCACCCCGCCCCATTCTCCCGCTTTCCATCACCCCGGCCCATTCTCCCGCTTTCCATCACCCCGCCCCATTCTCCCTCCTTACATCACCCCGCCCCATTCTCCCGCTTTCCATCACCCCGCCCCATTCTCCCGCTTTCCATCACCCCGCCCCATTCTCCCGCTTTCCATCACCCCACCCATTCTCCCTCCTTCCATCACCCCGCCCCATTCTCCCTCCTTCCATCAACCCGCCCCATTCTCCCACTTTCCATCACCCCGCCCCATTCTCCCACTTTCCATCACCCCGCCCCATTCTCCCTCTTTCCATCACCCCGCCCCATTCTCCAGCTTTCCATCACCCCGCCCCATTCTCCCGCTTTCCATCAACCCGCCCCATTCTCCCGCTCTCCATCACCCCGCCCCATTCTCCCGCTTTCCATCACCCCGCCCCATTCTCCCTCCTTCCATCACCCCGCCCCATTCTCCTGCTTTCCATCACCCCGCCCCATTCTCCCGCTTTCCATCACCCCGCCCCATTCTCCCTCCTTCCATCATCCCGCCCCATTCTCCCTCATTCCATCACCCCGCCCCATTCTCCCGCTTTCCATTACCCCGCCCCATTCTCCCGCTTTCCATCACCCCGCCCCATTCTCCCGCTTTCCATCACCCCGCCCCATTCTCTCTCCTTACATCACCCCGCCCCATTCTCCCGCTTTCCATCAACCCGCCCCATTCTCCCGCTTTCCATCACCCCGCCCCATTCTCCCGCTTTCCATCACCCCACCCCATTCTCCCTCCTACCATCAACCCGCCCCATTCTCCCACTTTCCATCACCCCGCCCCATTCTCCCGCTTTCCATCACCCCGCCCCATTCTCCCGCTTTCCATCACCCCGCCACATTCTCCCGCTTTCCATCACCCCGCCCCATTCTCCCGCTTTCCATCACCCCGCCACATTCTCCCTCCTTCCATCACCCCGCCCCATTCTCCCTCATTCCATCACCCCGCCCATTCTCCCGCTTTCCATCACCCCGCCCCATTCTCCCGCTTTCCATCACCCCGCCCCATTCTCCCGCTTTCCATCACCCCGCCCCATTCTCCCGCTTTCCATCACCCCGCCCCATTCTCCCGCTTTCCATCACTTCGCCCATTCTCATTGGGCCCGTGGGCCTCATTGGGGCGCACCTTTGGAGAGGTTATTCGCCCGTGGGCCTCATTGGGGCGTACCTTTGGAGAGGTTATTCGCCCGTGGGCCTCATTGGGGCTCACCTTTGGAGAGGTTATTCGCCCGTTTGCTCATTGGGGCGCATCTTTGGAGAGGTTATTCGCCCGTGGGCCTCATTGGGGCGCACCTTTGGAGAGGTTATTCGCCCGTGGGCCTCATTGGGGCGCACCTTAGGAGAGGTTATTCGCCCGTGGGCTCATTGGGGCGCACATTTGGAGAGGTTACTCGCCCGTGTGCCTCATTGGGGCGCACCTTTATAGAGGTTATTCGCCCGTGGGCCTCATTGGGCCGCACCTGCGTAGAGGTTATCTGCACGTGGGCCTCATTGGGGCGCACCTTTGGAGAGATTATTCGTCTGTGGGCCTCATTGGGGCGCACCTTTGGAGAGGTTACTCACCCGTGAGCCTCATGTGGGCGCACCTTTGGAGAGGTTACTCGCTCGTGTGCCTCATTGGGGCGCACCTTTGGAGAGGTTACTCGCTCGCGCGCCTCATTGGGGCGCACCTTTGGGGAGGTTATTCGCCCGCGCGCTCATTGGGGCGCACCTTTGGAGAGGTTATTCGTCCGTGGGCTCATTGGGGCGCATCTTTGGAGAGGTTATTCGCCCGGGGCCTCATTGGGGCGCACCTTTGGAGAGGTTATTCGCCCGTGGGCTCATTGGGGCGCATCTTTGGAGAGGTTATTCGCCCGTGGGCCTCATTGGGGCGCACCTTTGGAGAGGTTCGTGGGCCTCATTGGGGCGCACCTTTGGCGAGGTTATTCGCCCGTGGGCCTCCTTGCTGCGCAACTTTGGAGAGGTTACTCACCCGTGGGCCTCCTTGGGGCGCACCTTTGGAGAGGTTACTCGCCCGTGGGCCTCCTTGGGGCGCACATTTGGAGAGGTTACTCGCACGTGAGCCTCATTGGGGCGCACATTTGGAGAGGTTGTTCGCCCGTGCGCCCCGTTGGGGCGCACCTTCGGAGAGGTTATTCGCCCGTGGGCCTCATTGGGGCACACATTCGGAGAGGTTATTCGCCCGTGGGTCTCATTGGGGCGCACCTTTGGAGAGGTTATTCGCCCGTGGGCCTCATTAGGGCGCACCTTTGGTGAGGTTATTCGCCCGTGCGCATCATGGGGGCGCACCTTTAGAGAGGTTATTCGCCCGTGCGCGTCATGGGGGCGCACCTTTGGAGAGGTTATATGCCCGTGCGCCTCACCGGGGCTCAGCTTTGGAGAGGCGTGAGCCTCATTGGGGCGCACCTTTGGAGAGGTTATTCGCCCGTGGGCCTCGTTGGGGCCCAACTTTGGAGAGGTTATTCGCCCGTGGGCCTCATTGGGGCGCACCTTTGGAGAGGTTATTCGCCCGTGGGCTCATTGTGGGCGCATCTTTGGAGAGGTTATTCGCCCGTGGGCCTCATTGGGGCGCACCTTTGGAGAGGTTATTCGCCCGTGGGCCTCATTGGTGCGCACCTTTGGAGAGGTTACTCGCCCGTGGGCCTCGTTGCTGCGCACCTTTGGAGAGGTTACTCGCCCGTGGGCCTCGTTGGGGCGCACATTTGGAGAGGTTACTCGAACGTGAGCCTCGTTGGGGCGCACATTTGGAGAGGTTGTTCGCCCGTGCGCCTCGTTGGGGCGCACCTTCGGAGAGGGAGAGGTTGTTCGCACGTGCGCCTCATTGGGGCGCACCTTTGGAGAGGTTATTCGCCCGTGCGCCTCATTGGGGCGCACCTTTGGAGAGGTTATACGCCCGTGCGCCTCACCGGGGTGCACCTTTCGAGAGGTTATTCGCCGGTGCGCCTCATTGGGGCGCAGCTTTGTAGAGGTTGTTCGCCCGTGGGCCTCATTGGGGCGCAGATTTGGAGAGGTTCTTCGCCCGTGCGCCTCATTGGGGCGCATATTTGGAAAGGTTATTCGCTCGTGGGCCTCAGTGGGGCGCACATTTGGAGAGGTTATCCACCCATGCGCCTCATTGGGGTGCACCTTTGGAGAGGTTGTTCGCACGTGCGCCTCACTGGGGCGCACCTTTGGAGAGGTTATTCGCCCGTGGGCCTCATTGGGGCACACATTTGGAGAGGTTATTCGCCCGTGGGCTTTATTGGGGCGCACCTTTGGAGAGGTTATTCGCCCGTGCGTCTCATTGGGGCGCACCTTTGGGGAGGTTATTCGCCCGTGCGCGTCATGGGGGCGCACCTTTGGTGAGGTTATTCGCCCCTGCGCCGCATTGGGGCGCACCTTTGGAGAGGTTATACGCCCGTGCGCCTCACCGAGGCGCACCTTTGGAGAGGTTACTCGCCGGTGCGCCTCATAGGGGCGCAGCTTTGTAGAGGTTGTTCGCCCGTGGGCCTCATTGGGGCGAACCTTTGGAGAGGTTATTCGCCCGTGCGCCTCATTGGGGCGCATATTTGGAAAGGTTATTCGCCCGTGGGCCTCACTGGGGCGCACATTTGGAGAGGTTATTCACCCATGCGCCTCACTGGGGCGCACGTTTGGAGAGGTTATTCGTCCGTGCGCCTCATTGGGGCGCACCTTTGGAGAGGTGTTCGCACGTGCGCCTCACTGGGGCGCACCTTTGGAGAGGTTATTCGCGCGTGGGCCTCATTGGGGCGCACGTTTGGAGATGTTATTCGCCCGTAGGCCTCATTTGGGCACACCTTTGCAGAGGTTATTCGCACGTGGGCCTCATCGGGGCGCACCTTCGGAGAGGTTGTGGACCTCATTGGCGCGCACCTTCGGAGACGTTATTCGCCCGTGGGCCTCATTGGGGCGCACCTTTGGAGAGGTTATTCGCCCATGGGCCTCATTGGGGCGCACCTTTGCAGAGGTTATTCGCACGTGGGCCTCATTGGGGCACACCTTTGCAGAGGTTATTTGCCCGTGGGCCTCATCGGGGCGTACTTTATAGAGGTTATTCGTCCGTGGGCCTCATTGGGGCGCACCTTTGGAGAGGTTATTCGCCCGTGGGCTCATTGGGGCGCACATTTGGAGAGGTTACTCGCCCGTGTGCCTCATTGGGGCGCAACTTTATAGAGGTTATTCGCCCGTGGGCCTCATTGGGCCGCACCTGCACAGAGGTTATTCGCACGTGGGCCTCATTGGGGCGCACCTTTGGAGAGGTTATTCGTCTGTGGGCCTCATTGGGGCGCACCTTTGGAGAGGTTACTCGCCCGTGAGCCTCATGTGGGCGCACCTTTGGAGAGGATATTCGCCCTTGGGCTTTATTGGGGCGCACCTTTGGAGAGGTTATTCGCACGTGGGCCTCATTGGGGCGCACCTTTGGAGAGGTTATTCGCCCGTGGGCCACATTGGGGCGCACGTTGGGAGAGGATATTTGCCCGTGGGCCTCATTGGGGCGCACCTTTGGAGAGGTTATTCGCCCGTGGGCCTCATTGGGTCGCACCTTTGGAGAGGTTATTCGCCCATGGGCCTCATTGGGGCGCACCTTTGGAGAGGTTATTCGCACGTGGGCCTCATTGAGGCGCACCTTTCGAGAGGTTACTCGCACGTGTGCCTCATTGGGGCGCACCTTCGGAGAGGTTATTCGCGCGTGGGCCTCATTGGGGCGCACGATTGGAGAGGTTATTCGCACGTGGGCCTCATTGGGGCGCACCTTCGGAGAGGTTGTGGACCTCATTGGGGCGCACCTTCGGAGAGGTTATTCGCCCGTGGGCTCATTGGGGCGCACATTTGGAGAGGTTACTCGCCCGTGTGCCTCATTGGGGCGCACCTTTATAGAGGTTATTCGCCCGTGGGCCTCATTGGGCCGCACCTGCGTAGAGGTTATTCGCACGTGGGCCTCATTGGGGCGCACCTTTGGAGAGGTTATTCGTCTGTGGGCCTCATTGGGGCGCACCTTTGGAGAGGTTACTCGCCCGTGAGCCTCATGTGGGCGCACCTTTGGAGAGGATATTCGCCCTTGGGCTTTATTGGGGCGCACCTTTGGAGAGGTTATTCGCACGTGGGCCTCATTGGGGCGCACCTTTGGAGAGGTTATTCGCCCGTGGGCCACATTGGGGCGCACGTTGGGAGAGGATATTTGCCCGTGGGCCTCATTGGGGCGCACCTTTGGAGAGGTTATTCGCCCGTGGGCCTCATTGGGTCGCACCTTTGGAGAGGTTATTCGCCCATGGGCCTCATTGGGGCGCACCTTTGGAGAGGTTATTCGCACGTGGGCCTCATTGAGGCGCACCTTTCGAGAGGTTACTCGCACGTGTGCCTCATTGGGGCGCACCTTCGGAGAGGTTATTCGCGCGTGGGCCTCATTGGGGCGCACGATTGGAGAGGTTATTCGCACGTGGGCCTCATTGGGGCGCACCTTCGAAGAGGTTGTGGACCTCATTGGGGCACACCTTCGGAGAGGTTATTCGCCCGTGGGCTCATTGGGGCGCACATTTGGAGAGGTTACTCGCCCGTGTGACTCATTGGGGCGCACCTTTATAGAGGTTATTCGCCCGTGGGCCTCATTGGGCCGCACCTGCGTAGAGGTTATTCGCACGTGGGCCTCATTGGGGCGCACCTTTGGAGAGGTTATTCGTCTGTGGGCCTCATTGGGGCGCACCTTTTGAGAGGTTATTCGCCCGTGGGCCTCATTGGGGCGCACCTTTGGAGAGGTTATTCGCACGTGGGCCTCATTGAGGCGCACCTTTCGAGAGGTTACTCGCACGTGTGCCTCATTGGGGCGCACCTTCGGAGAGGTTATTCGCGCGTGGGCCTCATTGGGGCGCACGATTGGAGAGGTTATTCGCACGTGGGCCTCATTGGGGCGCACCTTCGGAGAGGTTGTGGACCTCATTGGGGCGCACCTTCGGAGAGGTTATTCGCCCGTGGGCCTCATTGAGGCGCACCTTTGGAGTGGTTATTCGCCCGTGGGCCTCATTGGGGTGCACCTTTGCATAGGTTATTTGCACGTGGGCCTCATTGGGGCGCACCTTTGGAGAGGTTATTTGCCCGTGGGCCTCATTGGGGCGTACCTTTATAGAGGTTATTCATCCGTGGGCCTCATTGGAGCGCACCTTTGGAGAGGTTATTCGCCCGTGGGCTCTATTGGGGCGCACCTTCGGAGAGGTTGTTCGCACGTGCGCCTCATTGGGGCGCACCTTTGGAGAGGTTATTCGCCCGTGCGCCTCATTGGGGCGCACCTTTGGAGAGGTTATACGCCCGTGCGCCTCACCGGGGTGCACCTTTCGAGAGGTTATTC